GGCCGGCCGGCCGGGCTCTCCTCCTGCAGGCGGATGGGTGACCGCTTCCCGGCGCGGGCAGGCTGTGCGAGGCGGCCGAGCGGGCGATGAAGAAGAAGCAGCAGCATCCGGGCGGCGGTGGCGCGGATGCCTGGCCCCATGGGGCCCCTCTTGCGGGCGCCCCTCCGGGCCCGGGCAGCTGGAAGCGCCGGCTCCCTCTGCCGCCTTTCCTGCGCTTCTCCCTCCGGGACTACGGTTTCTGCATGGCCACCCTGCTGCTCTTCTGCCTGGGCTCCCTCTTCTATCAGCTCGGCGGGGGACCCCCGCGCTTCCTGCTCGACCTGCGGCAGTATTTGGGTAAGGAAGGGAGGCGCCGGCCGGGAAAGTTGGGCCAGGGAGAGGGGCGCGGCGGCACTTCGGTACCTCCACCCCCGCCGCCCCGGGGCTCCCAGGTGCGACGCCCGCGAGCGTCGGCGCGGCCGCCAGCAGCGCAGCTCCTCCTGCGCGCGGGTTTGTCGGCACCGGGGCTGGAGCGCCGCTGGGTGTCTGTGCCCGCAGGTACCTTGGGGGTAGGCACCACATCCCCACCCCGACCCCTCACGAGGGCGCAGTGCGTGCGGGCGCGCGCGCAAGTATATTCAGGCCTGGAGGTGCCTCTTTGGTACCGTTGGTGACCAAAGCCCTGTCCCTTCCCGCGCTTGAGGCGTGCGTGTGGCTTTAGCCCCTCTCTACCCTCTGGTCTGCGAATTCTGCCCGCGGGTCCCCTTCTGCCCGGCGGCGTGGGGGCAGTGTTCACGCTCCGCGAGGCCCCTGGGCTGGTCCTCCCTGAGCAGCCCCTGCCTGACCCGCAGAGAGTGGGACGCGGGACACGGGTGGCGCCCGGAGGTCTGGGGCTGTCGCAGGGCGTGGGTCAGCCTGGCCATTAGTGTCGCCTCCTCTGGCCGGGTGATTCTCTGTATGGTGCGTGTCTCAAGTCAGAACTTTTTGTTGGTTTGTTAGGAGCGAGGCTGCCTATCCTGCGCAAAGGCAAGGAAGGGGTTGTGGCGCGCGAGAAAACAGTCTCTCCGGCAAGCGGGCGTGACCCCGCGGTTCCAGCTGCGCCGGGAGCGAGGGGTGCCAGGGCGCGCATCCGGGTCCCTGGCACAGTGCTGGCCTCGCGCGCCCAAGCCCTGGGAGGATGCGAATTCCTAGACCGGCTGTGGCCGGAGGAGGTCGTGCAGGAGTCGGGGGAGAGGCTGACAGAGCGCCAGCGTCTTGCAAACTTCTGAGGTGACAGACCTCAGTTAGCCCGCGGACTTAGCCATCCGACAACGCAAGCGGGTGCCGGGGAGGAAAGCCACTGAGGCGCTGGCAACAAAATGGGCCGAGTGACCCCGACCGGCTGGCTCTTGGCGTCAGACTTACCCCAAACATGCTTTACTCCCAGAAACCACAGGTCTAGAGAGAAGACTGTTTGGAAGGGCGGGGGCGGGAGAAGAGGTCACATCAGCAAAGTGACAAGTGGGTGACAGCATTTGAAATGTAAACGCTGATCAAAGAATACTTTGTCCATGTAGAGAAAAGCTCAGTTTTTGAAAGTTATACTTTCATTTCAGCGAAAACTTGGGAGACCCATGGTTTGCATGATGTTTTAGAGAAAATGAGAGGAGAATGTTGCCCCAATAAATTTCCAATGTCCCTAGCATCTGGTTGCATAGTGAGTTTGGGGTAACATGCTCTTGTATTGGGAGTTGAATTTATCTCCCCAGTTCTGTAGTTTTGAGTCTCACATAGACTTGCCCGGACCTACCGTGCATCCAAAGTAACTTAACTTTCAGTGTCAATGACAATTACAGTCAACTTGGCGTTGTGATGTAAGTGTTGAAGCTCAAGGGTCTTTCTAAGATTGGATAGTGAATACTTTGCAGAAGTCACTTTTAAGCAAAATATGTGGTGTAGGGGCCAGTACAGCTGACTGGGACAAAGACGTCTGTGTTCAGTATCCTAAAGAGCATGTGGCTTTAGACAAGGTACGGAAGCGTCATGGGCTTCAGTTACTTCATGGGTAAAATTAGGGGATGCTCTAGATTGTCTCTAGATGGTCACTCAGCACCTACCTTGTTGTGGTTCCGATTCCCTTCTTGTGGGCAGAAGAAGTTTGGGGAGAAGACAGGCACTACAGGGGATGAACACAAAACAACACCAACCAACCAACCAAAGCCTTTACTGTCAGTTGTGACTCGTAGCAACCCTCTAGGGTTTCCGAGGCCATAATCTTTACAGCAGTAGATTGCCACATCTGTCTTTCTCCCACAGAGTGGCTGATGAGTTTGAACCACTGATCTTTCGGTTAGCACCTGAGTGCTTAACCACTGCAACACCAAGGCTCCTTATAAAAATAAAACGCCAAGTATATATATTACACTGTTGTTTGGTGCCAACTCACAGAGACCCTGTGTGCAACAGAACAAAATCCTATAGGTCCTGCACCATCCTTGCAGTTGTTGCTATGTGTGAGCCCATTGTTGCAGCTACTGTGTCAATCCATCTCGTCTTCTTTTTTGCTGACCCTGTACTTTACCAAGCATGATGTCCTTCTCCAGGGACTGGTTCTTTCTGGTCACACGTCCTAAGTGTATGAGGCAAAGTCTTACCATCATTGCTTCTGAAGAGCATATGTGGTGATATATCACACTGGCCTTCTGAAAATTCAGTCAGATACATGTTGTATCCAGAATTTAGTGCTTTCACCATATACTTAAAAGAAAGAAATCAGTCCTGAGAAATTTGGGTGGCCTCTGGGTCTTTGTACCCATTGCTAGGAAGTTGATTCCAACACATAGTAGCCCTAGAGTTTCCAAGGCTATAACCTTTATGGAAGCAGACTGCTGTATCTTTCTGCTGCAGAGTGGCTGGTAGGTTTGAACCATTGACCTTTCAGGACCACTGTGCCACCAGGGCTTCTTGGGCACTTGGTAGGAGGGTGAATACACAGCCTTTATGCAAGGAACGGGGAGGAATTGTAAGATGGAACACTGCTTCTGTTACTAACTGATCATTAAGTTTCTGACTGACGAGGTCGTTAAAAATGACATCACTGTGAACTGTAAATAGGATACCACTGGCCACGTTTGTTCACTGCTGTTTTGTCATATGACTATAATGATTTTCGGGAAAAGTGAGTTTGTGGTCTTTCAGAAAGTCTAAAATACACCTTTAATAATACAAGCCAAGGTATCTGCAAAACAGCTTTCTCCTTGTTTCCTCCATTCTATTATTTGAGTGTCTGTCATTTGTTTTTTGTTCTATAAAAACAAAATTTATGGTTAGTAAACACATCCTCCCAATTTCTCTAGTTAGCCAATTTTGGAGACAAGTATTTTTCTTAAATATAAATTCATGTAAAGTCAAAATTTTCCCAACCCAAAAATATTTATGTCATACATTTTATCTTATGGGTATTATTTTAGTATATTTGTATAATATTATATATCTGGCACATACTAGGTACTTAATAAATATTTGTTGAAGTAATGACTGAATAATCCTATCCTATCAGATAGGGGCAATGATATTTAACATATTGAACATTCTTACAAGAAAACCAAGAGCCATGGAAATTTATGATGTTATTATTTATTGTATGTACGGCTAGTCAGTGCACATGAAGAATGAAATGTAATCCACATAACATCACTATAAGTAGGTTCCCTGATTGGCATAAATGGTTAAGTGCTGGGCTACTAACTGAAAGGTTGGTGGTTCAAACCCACCCAGAGTGTCTTGGAAGAAAGCCCTGACAGTTGACCTCTGAAGGATCACAGCCATGCAAAGCCTGTGGAACACGTTCTACTCTGATGTATGTGAGGTCACCATGAATTGGAATTGGTTCCATGGTAACTGGTGGGCTGGTATTGTTACTCCGTTTTTAATGATGGGAGAAGTGCAGGCAAAGAGGTTAAGTGACTTGTAGGACACACAAGGAAGGGAGGATGTGAACCCAAGTTGGTCTGACACCAGTACTCAAGACATAGAATTAAAGGCAGATTAAGTAATAAAATGGATCTGCAGCCAAGATGTAAGTTAGAATTTAAAGAGCTGACTGGCCAAAATAGTCATATTCCTTCCTTGATTTTGCTTTCCATTTCTTAAGACTTCTACTCTGAGTATCTTGAGGGCCCAGCACAGAAAGGACGTAATTTAAGGCCCTGGTCTACTCAAGCTCTCCTGCTTATACTACGCCCCACGATGCTGCCTCCATTTACCAGGGAACTGGGCTCATCCAGAGCCATGAAACAGCTGGAGGTGATGTGTAAGATCAGTACTGATCTTACACGACTGGACTCTCAACCTCTTGGGCTTTCTCTTTCTTTAATAATTGTTCTAAGGCCACACAAGTAATTCTCAGGATGGGCTCCTGGACCTGCAGCCTCAGCATCACCTGGGAACTTGTTAGTTGCCATCCGGTCAGTTCTGACTCTGGTGACCCCATGTGTTAAAGAGAAGACCTTCTCTGTCAGTTTCATGGCTGTAATCTTTACTGAAGCAGATTGCAAAGCATTTTCTTCTACGGTAAGAAGAAAGGGTGGGTTTAAACCAAGCGGTATCTCTACGGAAGTAGATCGCTCAGTCTTCCTTACAAGGAATGGCTGGTGGATTTGAACCACCAGCCTTCTGGTTAGCAGTCAAATGCCATAGGCAACTATGCCACCAGAGCTCTCTTTAGGTTAGCAATAGAGTGCAAACCATTCGCACCACCTAGGGACCTTGGGAACGTGTTACAAATGCAGATAATCATGTTTAATTCCAGACCTACTGAATGAAACCATCTGGGCCTGGGGCCCAGCCATCTGTATTTCAACAAACCCTCCAGGTGATTCTGTGGTAGGATAACATTTGAGGCCACTGTTGCTTTTGGGTGGGGCTTGGAACCGGGCTAATTCCTGTTCAGACCCCTGCTGAGAATTTGGAAGCTGTCTACCTAAGAGTCACCTGGGACTCTTGTTAAACGAGATACACACCCTGATTCAGTACACCTGGGCTGGAAATGCAGATTCCCCCCCAGGGCTCCAAGTTGGTTCGTAGCCCTGCTTTCAGGACCCTCCCCTGTGTACTGGAGAGGAAAGGGGGGAGGTTTGTGTGTGAGAGAGATTTAGAAATTATTTTGAAGGTGACGTACATGGTTTTGTTGTTTAATTTCAGCTTTCAGACATGTGTCTGCCAAGCTGCTTAAGCCCCTTTGTTTCCAGGGAAGGATCAGCCAGCAGCTGCAGCCCTAGCTGGCTCCAGTCTCTCTGAGTTTAGGAGATGCACGAAAGGGGGGGGGGTACCATAGGCAACCAGAACCTGTGGTTTGGAGAAGGGAATGGGGTCAGTAA